GGAGGAAGTTGACCGGAAGTCACCGGAAAAAATACGGAGAATTTCCGGCCGGAATACTGCCACCCAGTTCCGGCGACTTCCGGTGTTTTCCTGCAGGATACGGTGAATTTTCCCGCATTTTCCTGCCGGTTCCTGCAGGATCTGTTGTCCGGAATCATTGACCTGGGAATCGAAACGATAACGATCAAGGTTATCCATTGCTACTAAAGAAGACCTTGCTCACCTCATTCAAAGATGCAAAGAGACTTCTACATGGTATCAAATTAAGATGGCGAGATAAAATCGCGAAAGACATCACCACGTTGGATATCAAAAATTGGAGACGAGAGACTCAAGATAAGAATAAATGGCGAAAAACAATTAATCGAGATGTCAGACACACTACGGTTCATATAGATGTAGCACATATTGTACTAGAACATAAAGAAAGAACAGCTAACCGTCGAGCAGAAGAAGAACTACTACGAGTAGTAAAACAAAATACAACTATACCTTTTACTAATCCGCTAGCTTCTACAACTGATGATGTCACATACACTCAGTGTGAACGAATATGTAAAAACAAACGAGGTTTATAAGTACATCAACGAACTTGTTTAAATAAAAAGATCATAGATAAATCTACTACTGGTGGAGCGAAAATAATAGATTTATTGGGAAAAAACAATAAAAACGAATATATTTGTCTAAATCAAGATTACGGAAGATTCTTGAAACCTCAAGGAGCCACATCACATGTGAAAACATGGTTGGAGAAACAAGGTGTTACAATTTAGTGACTAAAATCTACAGATGATTAACTGTGAAGTATGATAACGGTTACTGAAACCAGATCCGCTTGTGGTCAGGAGGTCACAGTCTGATGGATATAGCAGTGACATATTTGTAGATGATAACCATTCGACAAACAAGACCCAATCGCTAATATTTCATTTTTGTGTTTTATGTTTGTGTTTTTTGTGTATGTCCTTGTGTAGTTTTATCAATGTGTGTGTTTTGTGTTGTCGTATTTATGTATTGTTTTTGTTTTCTCTTATTTTTTAGTCTTTATTTTTTCTTTCCTCTTTTTATTTTATTCTTTACCAATCCGTTTGTTCTTCGCCTAAATCGAGTCACCGGTATTGGCATTTCTTCTTCTGTTAGACATCAGTTCTATTATTTAGGACTGAAATTTGGTCGAAAAATCCATCAATATTCATGTTTGTCATAGAGAAGCCCATCAAGGCTGAAAATCTCTGATGTCTCAGATCATTTTTAATATTCCGATGGAGAATTATATTGTGCTCGGATCCATAATCATTGTCGAATACTTTTATATATTTTTTTGTGTCAATCATTATATAGATTTTTATTGGATATTTATCAATAGTTTCACCATTCAACACTCCCTTACAATTGTCTGATTATGCTTTCCAATCTTTTTTTGTACGATAGTGCATTATTTTTTTTACATATTGTATTATATTACAATTCGAAACGTCCAAGAGCGATTGATTCATATTTGCAAAGAATGTTAAATTGATGCAACAGTCAATAATATTTTATTTGTACACTATTTATAGGATAATGAAAAGAGTAATTTATTTTATGTTATGTTTAATACACACAATAACTGCTAGTTGGTTTTTTGCTCGTTTCTTCTGCAACGGTTTTCATATCTGGTGTGAACTTGACATATTCACTATATATATCTTTATTTGACAATTTATACCTCTTATTACTAAATCGAAAATAGAATGTTTTCCTCTATTTTCATTAAATATTTATCAAGGTTGGTTGTGTATGTCAAAAGTCTTTCAAGCATTACTTCTATGTAATGCTATTTCTCGATATGAATCAGTTTTGGTTATATGTGAATTATGTCGGTCAAAGACATGTAAGTTGAGTACAGAAAGTTTTTTTTTTTTGAGTAAACTATTTTTTTAACATTAAACCACATTATTGTCTCTATGTTTCAGATGAAATCTTTATTGTTTGAATGAAAAATGAGTTTTGTAAAGATAAATTTACTTCAAAAGATCTAGTAGCTTTTCATCCTTTGAAAGTTCAGTATGAGGGATGAACTCTCCTTATCAGGTGCTGTACTCACTGAGCTCTGTAAAATGACAAAAATATAGTTTAAACAAAGTGTAACATGTAAAGACTTGGAAACGGCAAATCATACTTGAACAAACAAATCAATAATCAGAAGTCGTATATATGTGCTACTGAATTACACGAGCTGAAACTAATTTCTATTTGAGAAATAAATGCATTTGAACTCTAACTTGTTAGATTGAAGTTATCAGGTGCTCCGAGAATTTATTTTACTATTAATGCAATAATTTACGTTTAGTAGTATTTTCTATTTTTTTTTTCATAAAATGAACAATTTTACCAGAAAACATATATTTCTTTTATTTTTATGAATCATGACGAATAGTAGAAAATAAATTTTATGCTTCAATATTGAGAACTTAAACATACAATATTGAATCCATCTGGTGAGACAATTTAAATTGAACAATATATGGTATTCGTACTAATATCTATTTTAATCACTGAAAATAGAACTCAATTTACTCTAGATAATCAATGCATTTTTTACTTGAGTTACTGATAAATAATTATCATAAGATTCCTAAAGAAAACTAAACATTAGTCAAACAAATGTTGAGTAGAAACGTGTGCAAATCGATGTGAATAAAGAAAACATTTACATTCAAACTCGATTTTTGCTTTTTCTATATGGTGTCTAAAACAATCGTTATGTATATAGGTAATTATGTGCACAATATTTTTTTTATGCATGACTGAGTATTCAGCTACCTTGCACGCTTAGAGAAAAGAATATTTTTTTTACTTTTCGTAGGTAGAAAAAAAACTGAATCAAGTATAAAAATCATCGGCACATGGTAGCTTTCGTAGTATTGTTAGTTTCGTTTTCAACCAACGCATGTGCTGAATCATTTTTCATCTGTTTTATTCAAGGTAATGCGAGATATTTTTTGATTCACTCTACACCTCATCTTATCCTCTCATATTCCAACTATTGCATCTTTCTAGATTTTTATTAAAATATACAGTTATATGTTTTCTCTTATAAAGTAAAATAAAGTTTACAGGTGAATAGGGCTAAAGCAAAATCATTTGCTCTATTGCAAGGAAGTTATTTATATATGTCCGAAGAAAGACATGATAGATGAGTTTGATCACTAGATTTTTTATGTGCTTTGGGTATTAATAAATCATTGTCTGCTATCTGATATGATTTTACTTTATTAATACAATTCACTTTCTTGAACAGTAAGAAGATAAGCCATCTGATGACACGAAAATTTGGAAAATCAAAATCCAAAAATATTGGTAGCATCTCAAATTATGTGACAACTTTTCAAAACAACTTTGTTAAAAAAATCAACTAGATGAGTGCTCAGTCTTGGTTGTCCTCTGCTAAGCATACACTTTTAAATCATTGTAGGTTCATGGACTATTCTTATATATTTTTGAAGATGTATGACATTGTCATAAATTCTCAAAGGTTTTTGATTGGATCAGATATTCCTACCGTTTGTTAATTTACTCTTAAGAGTTGCCTATTGTATCTTTATCGAATGAAGTAGAGAAAGGGATGTAAATTTTCTCAAAATTAAAGGTTGAACCGTAAAAAAAACAACTTTTTCAAAGAACGTGGTCCATAAATAAAGTAATTTCGATTAGTAGTCGACTTTGGAGAACAAAATGATAACGATTAATCCGAAAAGCATTTCTGTGTACAATTTATATGTTTTTCTTTACGCGTTTGTTACTACAGTTGATTCTGAATGCTCACGATATTTGATTAAAATAGTGCTGTTTAGAGAAAAAAGAAATGTCTCTACGACTTATTATCTTAATGCAAATGTTAGTTTTTCTTGTGCTAAGTAAAACTTCTTGATCATCTCTTCGAAAACACTTCGTAGACATATAAATGATAATGTTAATATTCATTTTACTAATTCATGCAAAATTCAGTTTGACTTGTAGAGCGACGGTTAGAAGTCAGTAGATGACATAAATTCAAATAGATACAACTTTACTGACTCTCATGGTTCGCTATAGTCTGGCGGTACGATTTGCACTTCATATCTATACAATGACTGTGAAAATTTAAACAAGAAATTTTCCTTACGAATTTTTTTGAAAAGGTTATTCATAAGCGTATTAAAGTGACAACGCTGAGATAGAAAACAGGTTTTATGGATTACAAAAAAGTCAGAACGAAATACAGAGCAGTTCGATAACAAATCCAACATGTTTCGACTTTTTGAGATGAACATAGATGACTTCTGTTTTTTAGCTTTCTTTCTGTATGTAGAGCGTAAACCAAATCACAGTCTCATAGTCCATATGCATTTCAACGTACACTGTCTTCGTTTTGTATACCTCATAATTCTCTAAGATGTCCAAGTTAATCGAAAAGCTTCGACTAAATCCGATGGCTATCTTCGTTTCGGTTTTCGCTGCCTTTGGTGGTCTATTGTATGGCTACGATACTGGTACGATCTCTGGAATCATTGATATGAATTATTTTCTTGAGACGTTTGGACACCGTCAGTTGGATGGAACGTATCAGCTTACTGCACAGGACAAAAGTTTGATTGTGTCTATCTTATCAGCAGGTACATTCTTTGGCGCACTACTTGGTTATCCAGCTGGTGATTTTCTCGGTCGTCGTTGGGGATTAATTGTAGCATGCTTGATTTTCTCAATTGGTGTTTCGTTTCAAGTGGCCGCTATCGCACTTCCTCTCTTTGTCGTGGGACGTGCTGTTGCAGGACTTGGTGTCGGCATGATATCATGCATTGTTCCTATATATCAATCGGAATGTGCTCCTAAATGGATTCGAGGCACTCTTGTGTCGACTTACAATTGGTTCATTACTATAGGCTTTCTTTTAGCGGCCATTGTCAACAATGGAACCAAAGACATTCATTCCTATGCTTGCTATCGAATTCCCACCAGTGTCCAACTAATTTGGGCTGTTATACTTGCTATTGGTATGTTCTTTCTTCCTGAATCGCCTCGATATCTTGTTATGAAGGGTCATCTTGGACGAGCCCATCAAGCACAAGCGAAGCTTAATCGGAGTTCAATTGACAATGAGAATTTTGATACTGACATTGAAGAGATCATTGCTAATATGGAGTTAACATCGAAATATAGTTCCGGTACTTATGCTGACTGTTTCAAAATGGGACCACAAAAGAATCTTTTTCGAACTTTGGTTGGTATTTTTCTTCAAGCATGGCAACAGTTGACTGGTATCAACTTCATCATGTATTATGGTACATCCTTCCTCCATTCTTCCGGCATTCAACAACCTTTTTTGATAACGATTGTCATATACCTTATCAACGTTTGTATGACAATACCTGGCATGTTGCTCATGGATAAGCTTGGTCGACGCAAAATTCTCATCACTGGCGCTGCTGGTATGTTGGCCTGTCAATATATTATTGCTATCATTGGTATCCTTATGGATCAGTCGAACGAGGTTTTTCAAAAGACACTTGTTGCTTTTGTTTGTATCTTCATCGCCTTCTTCGCTTCTACATGGGGTCCAGCTGCATGGGTCGTTACAGGAGAACTTTATCCTTTAGCTATACGAGCAAAGTGTATGTCTCTATCGACCGCTTCTAATTGGTTGTGGAATTTTGCTCTTGGCTATGCTACACCGTACATGGTCGATCCAGACAAAGGGAACATGGGCTCCAATGTGTTTTTCCTCTGGGGTTCAATGTGTATAGGTTGTCTTCTATTTGCTATCTTCTGTATTTGGGAGACGAAAGGTTTATCACTCGAACAAATCGATGACCTTGTTTCCAATTCATCGCCGATATCATCTGCTAAAGCTAATGATGCATTGAAAGCATCTCAGATCAATCATGATCGATCACACACGGTCAAATACCAATCAATTACGACGGGAAACGATAACTCTTTACGATAGTTGTGTACAGCAATAGTAAACGATTTAATAAAAAGTATGACTATTTTGGTCAAGGGAAGTGAACCAAAATTCACATCAACCAAAATACAGTCCACAGTCCATAAAATATCTATATGAAAATATACATCAAAGAAAGTTAGTGATAGGTGGCGCTCTGTGTGTGAACATCACTTGCATTAGAATGAATATGATATTCTGAATTCATTTGTTTATCACGAATACGCGCAAGAAGTTAACACAAACTCATTTGAGTAGGAGTTTTTAGACCAAATGAATTAAGATATAAGTAAATTAAAGCGCAATCGTTCGTTCGACTGCGTGTGCTCTCTTATAAAAAGTAATGAATTTCAATGAAAACTTATTATTTTTCATTAAATATCGATTGAACTTGGCTATATTATAATGACAAATTAGAAGCATTAGAAAAAAAAAACTTCAAAACAGTAAAGAAAAAAAATGAGCGTATCAAATTTTTTCAGATAGTAATGGTACGATTTTAGTCAACTTCAAAATGATATTATAGCATTTTCACATGAAATAGCTGCTCTTCTCATCCAGTGTTTTATCCACAGTATTTACATCTTCATGCTCATTCTAAATACTACACTAATTGGTTCATCATTTGATTCATTGATAAAATGAAACATTACTTTTTTTAATGAACGATTCATAATTAGATGATGCCAGTGATTACAATACATTTTTACCTATTAATTGAGTTGCAAGTAGAGACAATAGCTTGTCTTTCCTGTATCTCTCTTAATTGACTTTCTGATATACAACTATTCTGTAATTCTCTTCTTGCCTTATCCTCTTTGATGTTATTACATGTTTGATCTTATGTGCTTTTCGATGTTCAAAGAAACTATAGATACTAATCAAGTAGAATGAATTTAACGTTAACTTTATATGATTTTTTTTTCAGTTTTGATTCGTTTATAATTACGTAGAATTACGATTTTTATTGCCAATGAATGAGTTTTCGATAATATCGTTTGTAACAAAGAAATAAGGAAAGCAGACTGGCTTACGACAATTAATATATCATTAATACCAAATTTGAATATATTTACTGGAATAATAAAAGACAAAAGGGATACAATAATTGTATGAATAAGAAATGAGAAACTAATAAAGATAGCTGTTCATTTTTTGAAAATTTGAGGGAAGTAAGTGCAAACGAAACAACGTCATACATTCAGATCTTCATTGCTTTTTCTCACTTCTTTTTGGTATCGATAGTTTGTTCAAAGATAGAATACAAAGCCGAGAACATCAGAGAATTAAAGATCAAAAGGAGTGACACATTCAGAAAAGAATAAGTGAATTGTTTCTATACTAGCCACATAATTGAGAAGATACATGAGAGAAAAGATACTGCCCCTGGTAGCATCAGATTATTTTGTGTCCATCTTTCATACTTTTTCGCGACCAATAAACACATGGCAATTATCGTTAATTAGCATGCTCATTAAGACAAGCAAATTATTTCATAGATACGTATTAGAATAGTAACTTATATAAAAATAAAAAAGATTTGATAAGATGGAATACTTACGCATAGCAATCTATAGACATGAAAAAATAAAAATTATGTTTTTCTCTGTTNGTTTCGAACAAGATTTCAGCGTAAAATCTTGAATTTTCTACAAAAATGTAAAAAGTTCATTTTTTCACTGCTCCTTAGTATTTTCAAGATTTCTCAGCCAAAACTTGATAAAAATTCAATTTCAAGTAGATATTCGGAATCTACTCATTGAGCTCTATCGAATGATGTATGTTTCGAAAAAATTCAAGAATGCGTGAACGTTTCGAATTTCCCGCACCTTATATACTTCAATTTTTAGTGTGTTGTTTGAGTGATCACACTGACTAAATTTTATGCAAAACGATTTGAAAAAATTTTTATTCATGGATAAAATGATTACAAGTGCATAAGTTATCATTATTGTTCATTTCGATCATTTGATATATATATATTCTTATTTACATCACTCATCTCAATGAAGCTTTTCGTTCGTATATATTGACTGACACGAAAAACATCGATGCAGAAGGAAAGAATGGAAGCAATAATGACATAAAAACAAGAGTGACTTTGTAAAATTATTGTATAGTATATCGTCAGTACGTGTATCATTTGTCACATATTGCTAGTTAAAAAAAAGAGTACAATATTTTCATTCGATATTTCAGAATTGATATCAACATCATTCGAATAGTGAACACATACTTTCTTCAATGATGAATTCTATCATCTGTATTCTTTCTTCATCAAAATTATACATATCAATTATTTTTCGTAATGCAATGAAGAAAAATGCAATGATGCATGTAGTTTATTTTCATTTAAATTCAACTTTCATCATTGTAATATTTCTTTGGCTCCATAAAATATCAAGTATATAACAAACGAGTTACTGAATGAAAATCGCTGAGTTTCTTTTTCATTAGACATTTTGTTTCAGGCGATCTTCTTTTTTTTTTTGTAATATTCCCACTTATATCTATATTATCAGTTCTATGTGAAAGTATAGGGAACATTTTCGCCTCAGACACACAACAGAATAGAAAAGAAAAATCAGTTACTTAAAAGTAACCAATAATTTCTAATTAGCTCACAGAACATAAAAGCTAACAGATATAGATGCCAGGTGAATATGACCATGTAAAATGATCAAAGGAAAATAATAATTAATATCTTATATCGAAAATAGGTTGGTCGTTAATCGTGTGAGCATATTCTAACATAAAAAAAGGATATCATCAGTAGAATGAAAATATCAATTTCTGATAATTTGCGATGAAAAGAAGTTAGTTTCCTATATAAAGTTGTTCTTAAATTGCTTCAACCACACAATATTTTCAATCTGTACTGAACACTTCAAATCAAAATGTATTCTGTCATTGCAACAATTAGAATTGAAGATCTAGACAAACTCAACTTTCGTAAATTTCATCAAATTATGCTAACAAAAGAAAGTATAATTAATTTGTTTGAGGTGTGGATGTAGGAAATAATGTGTTTAATATGAAAATACATCCACATCCTTAAGCCTTTTTTGTAGTTAGAGACACACAATAGATGTTTCTATTCGAATAATTTGTTTCTAGTTTCAAAAACTGCTAGTAAATGTTCAAATTACTATTTGTAAAGTGCTATCCTTCTAAGAATTGAAAGGATAGTTTTCATAGAAATAATAATTAGTTCATATTGAGTTTAGATGTTTTACGAATGTTAATCATAAGTAGCTATATTCGAATCTCTTTCTCCGTGTTTATTCGATAGGTTTCGACTACTCTTAAATGAGACATCTATATATAATGTCTTTTATTTTTTTGGTTAAATTTCGATCTTCACAGTGAAAATCGCTCTGATGGTAGAAATTTCCGCGTTTTACTCTCACATTCACACTCTCTTTAGATAAGAGTTCCATTGTGTAAAGTACTTCTAGACGTTTTTTAGTCCTTCACTTGAAAATACCTCTAGGTATTGAATAGACTAATCTGTTGAAAATTTTTTCATACAATACTATAGAAACTTAGTAAGTATTAGATCAAGATCCTGTGACATACTGGTAGGAGAAATAAAATAAGTTTTCATATAGTTTATAATCGTGTTTTGTCAATAATAATAGCCGATATGAATTTCAAATGTTTGCCTTTCTGTTTTGTTTCTTGCAAATAAAACTATGTTTCAATAAAATGAAGATACTATGAACAAAAATCAAAGAATCATTTGATATATTTTGTTCTAGATATTGAGTTAAAGAAAATTTTTCGATCGTATTTAACTTTCAAATACATATTAAAAACTTAAACGAAAATCAACTTTTAGTCAATCATCTAATGCAGACACAAAGAAATTACAAAGTACGGTATATATCTTATAATATATGTTTCTATTTATTTTCATCTCCACATCAATTGTATATGATTGACTGAAATTTACCAATAAAAATAATTGAAATATACAACAAAGTAAATTTTTCATTATATTATATTTCATTTATTTTCTAGAATAACTCAAGAACTCCTATTAGAAATCTGCCAAAGGAAACGTTTTATATATCTTTTGAGTATCTTGCAGGTTGTGATATACACCAAAAGTACTTTCAAATGTCAATATGTGTTTTAAAAATCTTCTTAATTATTCATCACTTTCACTCAAAATATCACCAAGTGAATTTCCATCACCAGAACAGAAAAGAATGCATTATGGGTGTGGATGTAAAACAGTATTCATCATTATATTTATACTTCTCTTATTACGAACAATTTGAATTTGTAAAATGTCCATTTTAATGAACAATGCCCATCGCGGCGATGACTTTGTATATTTTAAATCTCATGATTCGGTTTTTTCAATGGCAAATAAGTGATTAAGAAATGGACAGATTCTCATTCGACATCGACACAAGGTCAACATTGATTATTGATACATATAATAACGGCAGTTCAAAAATACATAATACATAGAGTATTTAAGTAACGGATCTATCAAACTTAATTAAAGCCAAAAATTCAGATAAAAACTATTTATTTTGAATTTTTCGAAAACATGTTAGTTCAAAATAATTTCACTAAAATATTCATGATTGTTTATTGATAAGTCATGAAGTCTAACACTGTCAAATTTAATTTAACCTTATTGAGATCTACCCATAGTTACATCATAAGGACGAATAGTCTCTAACAACTTCATGTTTTCTCGTTGGATTCTTATAATCGAATCATTAGCTTGAAATAAAAAAAAAAAAAAAAAACTAATCAAACACTAATAATAAATAATAATCTAAATATTTATTTCACATGATTGAATTCTTTATTTTTATTAACAAGAAAAAAACGATAGATAAAACATCAATAATAACAACTTTAAGATATTTTATTATTTTGATCATGTTGATGAAATTAATGAAGTCAAAACAAGATCATTTTCTATTGAATTTTTTTTTTAAATCATCAACTAATTTTCGTGCCAATGGCTTAGAAATCTTATGACTAAGTCGTAAGTGATATGCTAATGTATGAAATGTAACAAAATGACGTTGACATGGTGGAATAGTAATATTTTTTCCATTATATTTTAATGAATTAACTTGTCCATGAAAAAAAGGACATGGAACTTTATAAGAATGATTAATTACATCTTCATTTTCATCAAATAATTTTGTTATAATAGAATCTTTATGATCGTCAATCGCTCGTATCAAACGTTCAGCATAAACTTTTTTCAATTGATGTGTATAAATAAAGTGAAAATATAATTCAATTCGACGAGTTGTTCTATGTTCACAAAATTTAATAGAATGATTTGCTTTCGTAAGACCATATGCACCATCAAATGTTAATGGACATTCAGCATAAATATTTCTGCATGGTGTTCCCTTACGTTTCTTCGTTTTTTCATTTACATGCTCATCCTAAAAAAAAATAACATCATGAATGTTTAAATAACATACAGGATTCATTTCATAGAAAACAAAACTATGGTCCATTTCAGAGTTAAATAGCCGTGAGCAATTTTTGAATAACTTTTGATAGGAATGATATAGAAATCTGCGGCTTTCACCGTTGGATAGAGCAGATGAAGACACATCGAGTTATATATAGAAAAATATTTTTCTAGCTACTTTTCCATAGGTTTTACATAAAACTTCAAGAAACACAGCATGCTTCTCATGATCCCGATTTTAATTTATTGATTTTCAAGTGTGCGCTAGAGTTGCAAAGAAAGGGCTACAAAATTATACCAAGGCTCTGTTCCTAACTACTACCAGTATGATATCGAAACACAATTTATCAGCTCATTTTTTGTCACGTAGAAAAAGCAATTCTTTGAAAACGTTTGACTAAACCTTTAGGAACGTAGTTAGAAAAATCTTTCTATATATAATTCGATGCGTCTTCATCTGGACATTCCAACGCTGAAAACCGTAGATTTCTATCTCGTTCCTACCAAAAGTTATTCAAAGAATACCCACGACCATTTAACTCTGAAATGGACAATAGTTAATTATCTTGAAGAGTAGTTCTCTTAGTACTTCATTAATTTTCAGTTTCTAAAATAACTTTTTACTATAAAAAAACTGAGACAAATATTATTTAGAACATGTTTATTATTGTTTCTTTTTAATAACATCCATTAAAAAAAAAAATTAAATATATTTACCTGAATAGATTCTTCTGTATCACTAAAAGACAGAAAAATATTGCAATTGGTTTTCTAATCATTTTTTTTTATTTGTAAATAAAAACAAACTTACTCAAGTGTAATAGTCTCAACAAAATCATGATTAATTTCCATTGAATATTCATTATCTTAAATCAATTATGTTTTTCTTTTTTCGAAGTTTAAGAAAATATCATTTACCTTTTGAGATTTCCGATTCTTCTGCTACATCTAAACATACAAAAAAGAAAAATTATATTTTGAAGAATTTTTTTTTTTAATCTTACAATGAAACTACATGAACTGATCTATTAGATCAATCATATTCATCAAGAATATCAGATTTATATTACATAGTCACTAGACCTAAATCAAATTTACTAGAAAATTTTGATCTGAAACTTTGAGACTATTTTATTACATCATCTTTCTAATGTCAATACGAATTCAAATAGTGATTAATAAATGCTGATAACTCCCTCATTAGACATCAATCGAAGTAAACAAGAATAAATAAAATGAAATGAAAAAACATTTGTTAGAGAAAAATTGCAACTTACCATTTGAATTTATATTTTCTTTATTAGGTTTACAAATAGAAGAACGATATATGGTTTCTAATGATAATGGTTCGACTTTCACTACGATTTCTATTTTTTTGACAAACAAATAAAAAAACAAGAATGTATTATCTAATTAAGTTTCTACCTGAACGATTTAATGCTATTATTTGTATTATTTTTTCGAAAATATCTTCTAATTCATCTATTGAACTATTGGATACATCAAGAATTTGTTTTGCTTGTTCAATTAAATTTTGTTCATATTTAATCGTTGATAATTTTTCATCAATACTTAATTGTAATGTATTTATAATTGTTTTTAATTCATTATGAAGATTATCTGTTTGTCGTTTATTTTGTTTTGTTAACTCAACATGTCTATTCAAATGATATAAACAAACAAAACGTAAACAACAATGACATTCATATAATTCTTTAAGTTCATCATCACATGTTTCATCAGTACATGAATCTATTTCAGGCATTTCTGAAAAATAAAAATAATACAAAGAAATGAGAATGTTTATATATATCTGCAGTATTCACTAAGAAGATGATGGTTATCACTATAGACGAAATGTTTAAAGTAATTGACTGACTACCTAACAAAACATGTATAGAAAAGAAAGAAAAAAAAAGAAAATTCAAAGTGTAATCTGATAGCTCTTTGTTTTATCGAATAAAATATAGTTTGACTATGAGTCAACAAATATGGATGATGATTCATCATATGATTTCTCTAACAAAATTCATTGATAGAAGAGCATGTTAAAGATTGTAGAATTTTAGTCTAATCTAAAGCAATTTTTAATAGATACGAACTTTAATATTTTCAAAGAAGAATCACATTTCGCTCTACTACACTGAAATATGAAAAAAGAATACGCAAGGGAAAAGAGTAATGAAAGAGAAAAAGAAGTAACGATGAATGCTTTTTTTTTTTTGAATTATTTGTTAACTATACATGAATAGTTAACATCTGAAAGAAAAGCGGTAACAAATATTTTTAATACGAGTTCAATAATATGACTCGTTATAGATCTTTTTTTGAAAGTCTTTTTATCTTACGAGGGAACATATCCAACTGGTTCCGAGCTTTCGGCTTCCTCTTTTGGCGACAGGTAGGCCTCAGTGAGACTAAGAAGACTCTAGAA